TCTCTCTCTCTCTCTCTCTCTCTCTCTCTCTCTCTCTCTCTCTCTCTCTCTCTCTCTCTCTCTCTCTCTCTCTCTCTCTCTCTCTTTTCCAGACATCCGAGGAGCCATGAAGTATCGTCAACAAGTCCGTACAACTAAATAAAAAAAAATAAAACAGTTTACCTGTGGAGATGTATGCTGGATGGCAGTTTATCTAATTAGTACAATAGCGAACAGTTACCGAAATCTTTCCTCTCCCTGTATCCTTCTTGAGTGGTCACTTTGTGTCAACGCCCTGAGCATCTGGTTGAGCGGCATGTCTGAAGGTGTGCAATCCGGCCCACCCCTGTGCCCCAAGTCTATGTTGAACTTGCCAGCCCCTGCACCTTATTTACCCTCGCATGCAACGAGCCCCTTACTTCCGGTTGATCTGGCTGATCAAGAGGCAGTTTAAGGACAACCCCCACGGTCCTCAGGATTATTTAACGTTGCAGACAAGACAACGCTCACAGCCAGGGTTCAATCCAGAACCCACCAGAAATATTTAAAGACGGTCTGGTAAGCGTCCGTTCAAAGGGCTTGCATGCCCAACACGACCTCTATTGCGCAGCAGCAGAACCAAGGACTTGCGGCAAAGCATGCGTGTACTACTCCCATGAACCACCCGCCCGAGGGCAGAAAAACAAACTGACGCAGCCCAACAGTGGCCCAACCATGCCAAACCACAGCCCACTCCTGTCACCCCCGGGTCTTGCTGCCGTCATGCAAGATCCGGGTTTGCCTTTATAAGGACTGCCGTCATGCAAGATCCGGGTTTGCCTTTATATGGACTGTAGATGTCGATGAGGCAACGCTGTGGGTCATTCGGAAAAAGAGATGCATCAGGACAATCGACAAGACTACCAATCCGACTGAACAAGTATGGGCGACCACAAAATTACTCATGGAGACCAGTATCCGGTGCCAATGGAAGAAGGTCAGACTCCAAGCTCAGCAAAATCCAGAGAAACAGCAAGAGTTGATATCAAGCTTTAACAGAGTGTGGCTAGTCCAGGGG